AGGCCTCAGAGTTCAGGGAAAGTAGAGCACATGACCTGGACTATAAAGCAGACTATGGCTTAGCTACGGTATGCCAAGAGACAAACTTACCCTGGACAGGTATCTTGCTCTTGTACTCCTGTGGGTACACTGTGCCCCAAGGGCCAAGGTAGGTTTCTCTCCCTTTGAAATTATATATGGCAGACCCCCCTCCCTTAATTTGGCCAAAGGGAGAATTGGGGGAAATAGGGAACTTAATTCTGTCTTTGAGGTTTGCAGATGGCTTATTGACCCATCCATCTCTCTAGGAACAGCTGTATACCATTATAAACCTGGAGTCCAGGTTTGGGTAAAGGATTGGAAAAAGGAGCTCCTTAAAGCAACTTGGAAGGGACCCTAGTCAGTCATACTAACCACCATCACAACTCTCAAGGTTGCAGGACTGAACACCTGAATCCACCACTCCCGGATGAAGGCAGCCCACCAGCTGATTGACGCCCAGCCTGAGTGGAAGGTGACCTCTGACCAGAAACATCCCCTGTGATCACCCTCAAAAGACGGAAGAACTGGCTGATCAACCTGCTCCAAGGAATTCAGATAACACCCTGCTGAATTCTCCCTTACATTAATATTTCTTTCTTATCTCCTCCTCAAGGTAATATGCTCTGGTATTTCTGGATAATCATTGTTTTTATCTAATAATTCTTATTTTTCTATTTTTATGAGTGCCACCAGGACCCGAGGCTAGTACCAGGAGGAGAACTCTTCTGACCTTGCTGGTCCTGTAGTACCAATAGTACTACATAAATTTACTACCTCCTACAAAATAAAGGAACAAGATGAGGCTGATGCTGGTTCTTTTACTGTTACTGTACTCTCTTAATCTTGACCACACCCAGGTCTACACTCTGCCTCTTAAGAATATACCAAGTCCTCACTATCTCTACCGAACCCTTAACCTCACCCTCTCTCTCTTAAATCAGACCAACCCAGCCTTAGCCAGGGAATGCTGGCTCTGCCTTTCCCTCTCTTCTTCAGCATATGTCGCCATCCCTACACCCATTGAGGGATGGAACCAAGCAAAAATCACTCTGGCTTATAAAAAAGAAAAGGGGAATATATTTTCTGAAAGAGCTGACACCCTATTAGGTGATTATCCTACTGTCCAGGCAAACCAAGCCTCCCTTCTCTTTCGTACTTATATTCAGTCTCTTGCTAAAGTAGCTTCGTCCTCTCTTCCAGTCACAGGCCCTATTGCTCTACACACCCCACTACTCACCCAGGCCCCTTTATGCTTTACAAGATCACAGGGCAATATATCAATGGGTGACCTCCCATCCTCTGCTTGCAATACCACAGTCAAACTGGAACTACCAAATACCTATTGGTCCCAACGGATTGACTACCAGGTCTCCCCGGAAGCCAATGGTCATTTTCTACAACCAGTCCGTTTTACTTCTTATCCAACGGTCCAGGCCGTAGGCTTTAATTGTTCTTTTCCTTCCCTTTCATTCTTTCCTTGGATAACACCTCACACTAGTATTCCTACCCATTTTCACTGCAAAAGAGTTTCAACCTCTCACCTGTCACCCCTTATCGGAAGTGCCATGGCAGCCACCCTCTCTGTTTGGAGCGCAGAATCAGGACAGAGACCCCCATACCCTGCAACTCACCTTTTTTCTCTACACCTTTCAGCTTGTATCCATAATCAGGGAATCTTCTTCCTCTGTGGACAAAACACGTATGTCTGTCTCCCCACAAACTGGACAGGGACTTGCACTCTCATCTATCTCTCACCCAATGTAGATATAGCCCCCAACAATCAGTCCTTGCCCATCCCTGTAACACACCATATCCAATACAAAAGAGAAGTCCAGCTAATCCCTCTCCTTATAACACTCGGCATTTCAACAGGGTTTAGCACTGGAATAGGGGGACTGGCAACTTCCCTCTCCTACTATCAGAGTCTATCCAAAGACCTTGCTGAAAGCTTAGAAGAAATAGCCCAAAGTATTGTTGCAGTACAGGATCGGATTGACTCACTGGCAGCTGTTACTCTCCAGAATCGAAGAGGACTGGACCTTCTCACAGCAGAAAAAGGAGGGCTGTGCCTGTTCCTTGAGGAGGAGTGCTGTTTTTATGCCAACCAGTCTGGTATTGTAAGGGATGGGGCCAAGAAACTAGCTGATCGGGCTTCAAAAAGAAGACAGGAATTATCGGAATCTTGGAGTTCCTGGAATAATATACAGAACTGGGCCTTGTGGGTACTTCCACTAGCTGGTCCCCTCTTAATGATTCTCGTAGTTCTGTTATTTGGCCCCTGTATACTCAATATGCTAACACAGTTTATCTCTTCTCGTTTAGAAACTTTTAAGCTCCAAATGGTACTACAAGCCAGGACCCTGCCCTACTATGATCCCCTTGGGCAAGATGAGGAAGACTCAACATGCTGAACCCCTTTTCTCGACGCCCCCCTTCAGCTGGAAGTAGTTAGAGTGGTCGTCATCCCTATCCCAATCACTGAGTCTTCTATCATTCACAAGGCTAAGGCTAGCTTGTGGCTGAAGGGATAGGGGAATGATGGGGAGCATAAGACATTTTTGGGGCTAGCAATCCCAATTTGTCCCAGTAACCTGCTTCTACTGCACGCTCTTGCTAGCCAATAATTAACTCCATTTGTGAAAGAATGTAGATTAGCAGCTGGACTCTGTACCTAGTTAATCACTGTCCCTAATGCACATTCCTGAAGTCACTGGCCCTTCCTTAATTATCTGGTCTTGCAAGATCTGTTTACCTAAATACTTCCAATTTACAAGGGGCCATGAACCAAGGATGTAATAGCTTAACTAGAAGGGTTCACTGGCACCATCCAGGATGGGCATTAGATACAATCTAAGTTAACCATTCTAACTGACGCTCAAGGGGGAGAGGGGCTGTGAGACCACCACAGAAGCTGGTAGTTAGGAAAAAAAGAAACTCAGAAATATGTAACGAGAAAATCTCATTGTCTAAGTAGTTTAGGATCTGGATCTTAATAGTCCCCTGAACCAGCAGGGCTGCTTTGAATAAAGGCTTTTACTGAAACCTCAGAGCGTCCAACTGTTTCTTCTGCATCAATTCCATAAATTTCATATTCTATAACACAAGGATTCCAACCCAGGCCTGCCCCCAAAGATCGCGGATGCACCTCCTCGAAAGGAGAGGACCTTCTGGTAAACCTGAGAGCGGAACCGAGCTGAGTGGACAGACGACAGGCCATACATTGGCAGACTTGGGTGTTCTTGGCCACCTGCCAACCAGAGCCCCTGAGCAGTACTTGGACCAGGAGAAGGAACGGCCCTGGCTTGCACTCACCCCTGACTCTCCAGGTCTCCATCAAAGCAAGACCAAGTGTGAAGATGCTGCCTCCTACTCAAAGCAGTTGGGTTGGCAGAAAGGAATGTGCCCGCCTAACTCCCATTCCCCCTTGCCTCCCCTCCCCCCCCCATTGTCCACCTGCTCACCACAGAGGCAGCCCGTCTGCCAAAGCCAGGAATGAGGAGCATTTCCATCTAGACCCCAAGGGTCCAGAGAGCCCGTTGCAGGGATGAACTGCTGGCACCTAGGTGTTCACTATCCTTTTAACTGTATCTCGAGTGTAGTTATTGAGCCTTTGCTGGTTTTAGAAAATATAATTAATCCACCACATTCTTGTTTTAAAAATATTTTTATTGATTTTTTTACAGAGAGGAAGGGAGAGGAATAGAGAGCTGGAAACACTGATGATCAAGAAACATCAACCAGCTGCCTCTTGCACACCCCCTACTGGGGATGTGCCTGCAACCAATGTACATGCCCTTGAATGGAATCAAACCTGGGACCTTTCAGTCCGCAGACTGGCGCTCTATCCACTGAGTCAAACCGGTTTTGGCAATCCACCACATTCTTGTTCACAGTGGCCACCAACACAGGGCAGACTCAAACCCTGCAGCAATCTGATTTCTAGCCTTAAACTCCTTGGCACTCCTAGAACCTCAATGAGATCTGTGTGTATATAGGGGTCAAAGGAGCCCACCCCCCGACTCCTCTTCCTAGTTTGTCCATTGTAAAAGGTTTACAATATGCCAATGTGAAAGGAATAGCCAATTGTATCAGAGTGCAAGGTCCACTTCAGTTGCTTGGTCCGCAAGTCAGGGTCCCCCATGACACCACCAGACATCAGCAGAGATATACATAGTGCAGCACGATGAGCTTCTGAGGATACTCGGCCATTTATGCATTGGATATATTTCTCATAAACTCCAAGCACTGTGTCCCCCCTCCCTTAAGAGGCAGCAGGTATAGTTTATGTCGGAGGACAGACCGGGTTGTTTTGGGGGAGTTCTAGCTCTTTGTCCTTGTTTGAAGGGAAAAACAGGGCGAGAGTCTTACAGGAAGTGTTTCTCCAGGCGGTTTTCTCCTGGTACAGGGCAAGCACACATTCCATCCTGTTACTGCCTGAGGTCTATCTGAATGGTAATGGGACCACTTGGGCCTCAGCCTTCCTATTATGCATGTGTAACAGTCACTTTTATTCAGGGCATGTACAGAATACTTAATCCATTCCACCCAGGCATTCATTCCCTTATATTCTATTTCTATTTGCATGGTGGCAGTAGCCTAGGGGATCTTGGCCTGTGACATCTCTTCCTAAATGGAGTCCTAGTCAATCTTTTGACCTAAAGGCTGAAATATCCAAGTCATTCAAGTTATCTATAACCAATAATTTAACTGGGTAAGCATGATCCAGATTGTACACATTTCTCCAGCCCATATTATAAGCCCCTGCAATTTGCCAGAATCCTTAAGCAAAAAGAGCCCAGTACCTGATGGTTATTAAGACAGCTCACAGTTTTTAGCATCAGTTTCAAGGAGACATGCCCTGGTATGGCCGTTCAAATTGAGGTGTATCTGCCCTTAACCCGTATGTTATGGGTCCAACCTCACTCTGCAGTCCGAACAGCAGTCTCAGTAGTAAGACAGGTAAGGTCCTTCCCAGGAGGGTTCCAACTTGCTGCCCTTCCAAATCTTGATTAGAACACATGTCTTCCAGTCGATGGCAATGAACTGGAAACTCAAGAGGGCCTTGGGTCAGGATGCCTTCTAACCTGAGAGAGATTAAAGTATAATAGAAGAGATACCCAGTACACAGTTCTTAAGAAATTGGTCCCATTGTAAGAAGATCTTGAGGCATTCTGGGACCTATTGGAATCACCTACAGCCAACTCTAGGTAAAACAAAACAAAACAAAAAAAACCCTTGAAATTCAAATCCTAGGAAGGTTGTCAAACTTGATTTTACCAAAAGATTATATATTAAAGTGTATTATACAGAAACATAGGCCAGCAAACTTCATTTCCTATGATTAAAATGTGATCTTTTTATTAAATACCTGATTAATGTAAGAATTATTTTACTAGAAAAGAACTAACCAAAATAAGGCTTATTTTCTAACTTTATTTGTCCTTGGGTATGGACAGCAAATGGCACTAATTGGATTTCTGCTATCAGTCTCTCTGAGTACTTTGACATAAGCTATTTACTCTCTGTTTAGGGAAGCAAAATGTAAATTACTGACTTTTAAGTGTCCTTCATTTAGGGAAGACAGAGTTTTCTAGATGGTTGCAAACTGCTATTTTAATATTTCAGTTTCCCCGTTCTGTCCTGGCTTACTGGCCTGTATCATTTAATCAATTTCCTTTTAACATTTCTTTTTTATAAACTTATAATTTCCACGAACATTCTTACAACTTTCAAACACATTTTTACAATTTCCAGAAATAACCACCTTTAGAAACCACCTTCTTTTTCCTTCAAAATGCATAACCAAGCCTCAGTCCTTCCAGTAAGCATCTCCATGCCAATATTTTTTAAAAATATATATTTTATTGATTTTTTACAGAGAGGATAGAGAGAGGGATAGAGAGTTAGAAACATCGATGAGAATCATCAATCAGCTGCCTCCTGCACACCCCCTACTGGGGATGTGCCCACAACCAAGGTACATGCCCTTGACCGGAATCGAACCCAGGACCTTTCAGTCCCCAAGCCGACGTTTTATCCATTGAGCCAAACCGGTCTTGGCTTCATGCCAATATTCTTTCTTTCTGTCACACCATCAGCAATTTGTACAGACATTTTCTTTTTTTTAATGTATTAAAATTCTTCATTCTTAGAAACATCAATTTTTCAATAATTTACCAAAAAGTAAATAGCCAGTGTTTCTTAGATTAACATTTATCAACACACTTTTTGTAATTATTCTAAAAGACATTAATTAAATTTAAACCAGTTTTAATATTAAAAATTTTGTTTTGACCAATTAATCCCCTTTTTAAAAAATCAAGCCAATAAAACATTATATCCTAGGTGAAATTTTATCACACATATATTTAATTTTAAAATACCTAGATATTTGATAATTTTTATTATTCAATTCAGCAAATTTTGAAGTTTTAAGTTACCAGAGACTTTGGAAAACTATGTATAAACTGCTATACATTCTTCATTAGAGATACATCACCTAAGGTTAGTGCTGCCACTTCTGTTTCTGGCCCTCTGTGCCAGTCTTTCCCTAGGCCACTTCCTTGAGATGTCAGGCCAACTATTGGTGACAAAATGTAATTTATAATATTTCTTGTCCCAACAGGTCCTCAGGATCTGGCCCAGAGTACTTTCTCATTTAATCTTTTAAGAGTCTCATGCTCTACCGACTGAGCTAGCCGGGCACCTCATTTAATCTTTTAGTCTTGGTAAATTTGGAAGACCCTTCTTTGCCTTATTGAATATTAAAGGTTTTATTTAGGCTCTGAGACCCGGGAACTGCTTCACTAATTCCTTTAATGATTACTTCTCTAAGGCCTCTCATGTGCCCTCTATGGTCCATCTTGTTAAGTTCCCACTGAGGCTCCTGGGTTAGAAAATTTTACACGTGCTGGAAGTGACTTAGGGCCAGTCAGGTACTCTCACTCCCAGACCACCATAGCTGACCTTTGAACCATTGCTCTCTCTTCTCCTGAGAATAGGATTCCTAAAATGGACATTAATTTGGTCCACGTATATACTGTGGGCCTAGACATTGATCTAATTGGCCAGGTAAACCATGTGGATCTTCCAGTAGAGGCTTTAACTCTTTTTTTTTTTTTTTTTTAACTGTTCCAACTTATTTCGCAGCCTAGAAAAGCTGGTTTCTGGTGTTGTGGTGGCCAAAGGGCCTGTTGGAGCCTGAAGGGGAGGCTGGGATTGTAAATCAGCCATCTTGGATATTTCCTCAGATTGTCTCCCAGTGGCATAGGAAGAGGCGAGGCAATTCAAGGGATCTCATTTGTCTGCTCTTTTTCTCTTTTAGATTTTTACTGAAAAGCTTTATATCTTAACTTTGAGATTTTTTGCTTGGGGTTTGGAGGTTTTGGAGCTGTCTGACCAAAGCTGCAGTTTGTTAGGTTAAGCTGCGATAGGGCAGGCCATTTATATGCAAAAGCTTCTGTGTGGAGCTTAGGTGGGTTTTTAGATTGTGAGGGCTGGGGTCTCTCAGGGAATCACTAGGCTAGGGCATGGCAAACAGTGATGGCTGCCAGTGAGCCCTCTCTGTGTCTCCATATTTCCAAGTCCCCGTGTCCCCTGCCCTAGCACAGTAAACAATGATTGCTGGGCACACCTCTGCATGAAAGCCATCCTCACTTTCTGACCCAATGTCAGACAGTCCAGCTTTTCCCTGTAGGTGTTTGGGTCCCCAGCATCTCCCTAGAAACTAGAGTTCAGAGTAATTGGGAGCTTGTCTCCCTCGGCCGCCAGCCCAATTCACGTGCCTCTGTACCTCAGCTTTTCAGCACTTGTGCACGTCTCAGTGCTCTTTTTATTCTTTCCTTCTAATTGTAGAACTTTCACTCAGCCAGCTTTCCCATGGTTCTGGGTGATAGATGTTTTGTCTTTTAGTTGTAGTTTTGAAATTGTTGTGTAAGGCAACAGTTTAGATATTTACCTATGCTACCATCTTGGTTTTTTTATCGATGTTGTTTTCATGTCTTGGCTATTGTGAACCATATCTTGGATACTGTGGACTTAACTAAACCATCCTTGTTTACGATGCTTTTGCTGGTCACCATCTTTTTTTGTTTAGCTCAAAATGGTTTATAAACCCAAGTTCTAGCCACTCCTTTGGGTTATTCATCACGGCGTGCTCCACCGTGTGCTTGTGCAGTATGCATGTTAATAAATTTCTGATTGTTTATTAATCTGTCTTTAGTCAGTATAATTTACAGGGCTCCAGGTTTAGAACCTAAAATGGGTAGAAGAAAAGATTTTTTTCCTTTCTACCAAGGACGATTCATCTGGTACATCCTTCCTCAGGCATCTAAATAGGTTCAAACAAACCTGAATATTGAGGGTGAACACAGTTAGGGTCTGACTATATAAAGGTAATACTTCCATCTTCTTTGCTCTTTGTTGGATACTTCATCTTGAGTTATTTTAGAATGGTACACTTGCTTGCAAATGACATGATTTCTGTTTCTAAAACTGATGTATCTTCCTAGCCAGAATTATTTCTAAAGTGTGGGATAAAAATTATTTTAATTATTAGTAAATATTCATTGTCACAGTGGATTTGGCCTTTAGAAATTGTAAAAAGTCACTTATATTCAAGTCTGAAGAAAGAGCTGGTGAGCAATATGAAATACTACATAAGAATTATTATTATTATTTTTTAATATATTTATTGATTTTTTACAGAGAGGAAGAGAGAAGGATAGAGAGTTAGAAACATCGATGAGAGAAAATCATCGATCAGCTGCCTCCTGCACACCCCCCACTGGGGATGTGCCCACAACCAAGGTACATGCCCTTGACCGGAATTGAACCTGGGACCCTTCAATCCGCAGGCTGACGCTCTATCCACTGAGCCAAACCGGTTTTGGCAAGAATTATTGTATCCATTCATATCAGAGTCCCTGGAAAATGGGCCACTGTTGCTGATTAATATCTGTTCTAGGTTCTGTAAATTTCAAAACCTCCCTGAAAGTTGTTAGCTCACACTTGTTAGAATCACAAGTGGCAAGTTGGTGAGGTCATAAGGGATCTATGATGCTGACTATCCTCTCTCTCCTGGTCCCCTCTTCTCTCCCTTCCCCAACTGCTGATTCACAGAACATAGTCATAAGCAGCTGGCACACAGCCAATGTCTGCTTAATACTGACATGCTTACCATGTTAATAGGAGAGAGTGTGACAATAATATGGTTTATAAGCCAGTACAACTATTGGAGAAGAATACCTTTGATACTCTCATCAAACTTGTATAATGTTCTAAATCACCTACATGTGTGTTACTATTAAAATCACAACAGAATAATACATCATAGGTGGTAAAAAGCAATGCATCTTTGAATATTATTGAGCATCAATTTGATATAGACCAAAAGAATAATATAAAATTGGCATTTGATAGCTGTCTTTTCTTCTCAAGAAATGACAAATGAGGTCATGCTGTCTCCTTCCCAGCGGATGTTTCAATGAGGAATAAATAAAACCACTTAACTAGAAGGCCCTATAGCAAAGTACCTTTGACAAGGGAAATTTCACATGATCCTGTAGGGATTCCAATGTGAGATGATCGAAGGTCCTCTCCTCAGCCATCAGGGGGACAAACTGGACCTCCATGAATGCTTTCTTAGCTCTAGGATTTGTGAAAATATCAGGCTAGTCTGATAGCTTCAAAAGGCCTCAGGCTACCAAAATAACCTCATCTATCTTCCTTTGCTCAACCTTGGGCACTAAGAACATAGCAATGTAATACTTGTTGGAGCCTAACGTACACATGATTTCTACCAAGACACCCTGGCACCACTGTAAAGTGGATGAAAACATTGCAGAAAGTCATGCTTGTAAAACTAAAGGGGCACAACACAGAGTGCAACTGAGATATGGAATCCATACCTCTTAGATGTATGAAGTCAGTTTTAGTATAATAATGGCCTCTCTGGGCTTTGAGTTTGGAGTTTAGTAGTGTTGGAACTTACCCAGTAGGCTAATATTTCCTAGAGCACAGGCAGAACTATCATGATCATCATAATGAACAATTATACCAATGGAGTATGCACAGTGCCAAATCAGATCTTGACAGAAGAGGTTCAGTGAGAGACCTACTTTGAAAAAGGAGCCTCCTGCACAGTGAGAGGTAGCACAGAATCAAAGTCCAACTTAGAGTTACATACCAAACAGAAGGGTGAGATCAGGATCTGATGTTCACCTGTGCTTGAACTCTGGGTTACCCTACGGCAGCGCCGCAGGACCTCTGGATCACGCTGTCCAGTTTTCTAATAAAACTGAGACCTGAAAAGGAAATAAAGTATTGTGACTATTTTTTCCACAAATACAAATCAACATCTCTAAGTAAAGATCATCATTTAAAAAAGAAAATGATCACCAATCTTTGCCTAAGTCTGTAAAATAAACCTTTCCAGCCACTGCACACTCTTAGGAGAAATAACCCTAGGTCCAAAGATGGTCTGGACTTGATCCTGCAGACCCATTGTGATGTAATCAACTGTGACCATGTAGTGACATCACACAGTACATTTCTGGAGTTCGAGTTTATGGCCAATATACTACTCAGCCTTTCTATTTAATTTAGCTACTGTATGTGAGGTTAAAGAAAGAAGGAACCTGCTGAAACCGGTTTGGCTCAATGGATAGAGCGTCGGCTTGGGGACTGAAAGGTCCTGGGTTCGATTCCGGTCAAGGGCATATACCTTGGTTGCAGGCATATTCCTAATGGGGGGTGTGCAGGAGGCAGCTGATCGATGACTCTCTCTCGTCGATATTTTTAACTATATCTCCCTTCCTCTCTGTAAAAAAATCAATAAAATATATTAAAAAAAGAAAAGAAAAAGAAATAAGGAACCTGTTAGCCCTACATCCAGGTGTTCCAGGTGTTAACAAAAAAACAAACATTGAAACCTGTAAAGAATTTTTGTGAGTTTATTTGAGCCTTACTGTCAATATATGCCGGGAAGCAGAACCTCAACGGATTGAGATAATGCTCCGGAGAATGGTGGGTTACATTTCTATATTTATACATTGCAATCAAAGGAAATGGACATAGGTTAGTTACATGCAATTCATTGGTGATAGATTAGGGAAGTGGGACAAAGCAAAGCGGGGAAACCTCTGGGATAGGGTAAAAGGTGAAAGGATGGACATGAGCTTCTTTTACAGAGATGGATACAGGATACTCTAATGTAATTAACAGTTGTCAATTAACTTGATAACAATAACAATGAGGAATGTCTCGAGGCCATTCGTTGTGCCCTGAGGGGTCCTGGGTAAAAAGGAAGTTACAAGTTACCCAGACATCTTATAGATATGTTATCTCAGATGCAGGAAGGTAGAGGGGCTCAGTAAAAGATCAAAGTTGATCTTTGTCAGGTGAAATATCTGGGACATGACTACCTACTATAACCTGTTAGATATTTAATTTTCAAACCATCTTTTGTGGTTATCTTTGGTCTCTGGGTTGGCAAGACTGCCATGCAGGCCTCCCCTGAGCTTGTCAGGTTAGCATATGGCTCTTTTCTTTCACACAGGGATACAGAAATGTTCTCAGAACTCATTTATTCCTGAGATACATGAGTGTGCTGGCACTGGGTGCCAAGTAGCGATTGGGTTTTGTACACCACTGGTGCTTTAGTATCTATGAGCAGCTTACCAAACTAGACAGGGACACTTAACATACCAGGAAAGGACCAATTTCTACACATATTCTAAAAAGATCCATTTTTCAGAGGCACACACTTAGTACTTGTGGCTAGAGCCTCAATTTATTCAAAGTGGCAAAGGTATTATACCCTAAGTATATAAACCATCAGGGTAATTGTGGCCTTAAACCTGACTGATTCCATACCGCTAAAATACAACAGCACTTCTTACATCAAACAAAACCCATGGGCAAATGACTATTTCCCAGTGACTCAAAGATAGAACAGAGTAACAACATCAGTAAGTGTGGAGAGCACTTGGGTAGGCACATTGGGCATTTCTTAATTATTGACAACTGAATCCAGTGATGGCAGCAGAGCCTCATTCTGGAGACACCTTTTGCCAAAAGGTAAGGGTGTTGTCAGCTCGACCTTCAACCCAGGTGCCTTCAGTCCAGGTGCCTGGAAATGGGTTTTATTATGTAAATCCTGCCAAGTACCAGGAATGAATAGACTTGGGCCCACCCAGAAGTGATGATTTACAAAGAAGCCCAAGAATGTGCATAATCTCCTTGTCTTGACCTTTGGAAAAAGTTCCTGGTATTTTGGGGTATAAAATAAACAGACTGCATGGGGTCTGGGTCCCAGTCTCTACATCAGAGGACAGTGGTCCCACCTGGTCCCAGCTTTCCCTACTATATCTGTGTCTGTCTCTTTCTTTAATTCTCTCTCTCTCTCTCTCTCTCTCTCTCTCTCTCTCTTTTAAATCTTTATTGTTCATATTATTACAGATGTTCCTCTCCCCCCCCCCCTTCTTTGCTCCCCTCCACCAGGTTCCCACCCCACTCTCTGCCCTTTCCCCACCCATCATTGTCCTCAACCATAGGTGCACAGTTTATGTTCAGTCTCTTCCCACACCTCCATCTCCCCTTTTTCCAAGAATCATCAGTTCACTCCTCTTCCATACCTCTGATTCTATTATATTCACCAGGTAATATTGTTCATCAGATTTAAAAAAAAAATTTTTGGTTTTTAGATTCACTTGTTGATAGTTACATATTTGTTGTTCATAATTTTTATCTTTATTTACTTTCTCTTTCAAAAGAACCCCCTTCAGCAATTCATATAATTCTGGTTTGGCGGTGATGAACTCCTTTAGCTTTTTTTTTTATTGGTGAAGCTCTTTATCTGGCCTTCGATTCTGAGTGATAGCTTTGCTGGGTAGATTATTTTTGGCTATAGGTTCTTGCTATTCATCACCTTGACTATTTCTTGCCATTCCCGTCTGGCCTGCATGGTTTCTGTTGAGAAATCAGCTGACAATCGTATAGGTGCTCCTTTATAGGTAACTACCTTCTTTGCTCTTGCTGCTTTTAATATTCTCTCTTTGTCTTTTGCTCTCGGAATTTTAATTATGATTTGTCTTGGTGTGGTCCTCTTTGGATTCCTTTTGATTGGAGTTCTGTGCGCTTCCTGGACTTGTAAGTCTAATTCTTTCACCAGGTGGGGGAAGTTTTCTGTATTTCTTTCAGTATGTTTTCGATATCTTGCTCTCTCTCATCTTCTGGGACCCCATAATTCTGATGTTGGTTCGCTTGAAGTTGTCCCAAAGGTTTCTTACATTATGTTCCACTTTCTGGATTCTCTTGTCTTCTTGCTTCTGTGGAGGAGTGTCTTCTGCCTCTTTTTCTTTTTTTAAGCAATAAATTTAACTTTATTATAATAAGAGATATTGTTACAATTTATAACCTTCAGTCCTAACAATATGATCTAGTTACTGCTAGTAACATACACCTATTTAGTGGGCTCTAGATGTCCTTCAAATGCCTTTGAAAGAAATATACAGATATGTGGACAGAAACCCTCTTAAAATTTTATTTTTTTAATTAAATTATCTGTGTACATATTTTTTTTCTATTTTTATTTTATTTTATTTATTTTCTTAAAATATTTTTAAAATTAAATTATTATCTGTGTACATATTTTAACATTGCCCCCCCTCCCATACATGCCCTCCCTCCCCAGAGTTTTGTGTCCATTGGTTGTACTTATATGCATGTATACCAGTCCTTGGGTTGATCTCTTATCTCCGCCAGATCTCCATACACTCTCCGCTGTAATTGACAGTCTGCTTGTTGTTTTACAGTCTCTATATCTATCTTTTGGTTCATCAGTTTATAATGTTCTTTATTATCCATAAATGAGTGAGGTCATGTGGTGTTTCTCTTTCATTGACTGGCTTATTTCACTCAGCATGATGTTCCACAATTCCATCTAGGTTGCTGCAAATGATGAGAATTCCTTCTTTTTTATGGCAGCATAGTATTCCATTGTGTAGATGTACCATGGTTTTGGGATCCAATCATCTGCTGACAGGCACCTAGGCTGTTTCCAAATTCTGGCTATTGTAGATTGTGCTACTATGAACATAGGGGTGCATATATCCTTTCTGATTGGTGTTTCTAGTTTCTTGGGATATATTCCTAGAAGTGGGATTACTGGGTCAAATGGGAGTTCCATTTTCAGTTTTTTGAGGAAACTCTACACCACGTGTCAAACACAAGGCCCGCGGGCCAAATCCGTCCCGCCAGGCCTTGCAATGTGGCCTGCAATGCGCTGTCATCACTGCACTCCGCTGCGTTTCCATCACAATGACAGTTTATGACTGTTCAGTAAACCATTCGGCCCGCGATTTAGGCTGGATTTTAGATTTTGGCACCTTCTCTGAGTTCGACACCCCTACTCTACACTGTTCTACACAGTGATTTCACCAGTCTCCATTCCCACCAGCACTGAATGACGGCTCCTTTTTTTCTGCAACCTCGCCAACACTTGTTGTTTGTTGATTTGTTGATGTTGGCCATTCTGACAGGTGTGAGATGGTACCGCATTGTTGTTTTGATTTACATCTCTTGGATAATTAGTGACTTTGAGCATGTTTTCATGTGCCTTTTGGCCTTCCTTCTATCTTCTTTTGAGAATATTCTATTTAGGTCCATTCCCCATTTTTTAATTGGATCATTCATCTTCCTTTTATTTAGTTGTATAAGCTGTCTGTAGATGTTGGAGATTAAACCTTTATCAGTGGGAACATTTGCAAATATGTTCTCCCACACAGTGGGATTTCTTATTGTTTTGTTGATGGTTTCTTTTGCTGTAAAAAAGCCTTTTATTTTGATGTAGTCCCATTTGTTCATTTTCTCTTTAGCTTCCATTGCCCTAGGGGCAGTATCAGTGAAGAAGTTCTTTAGGCATATATCTGAGGTTTTGCTGCCTGTGGATGCTTCTAGTATTTTTATGGTTTTCTGTCTGATGTTTAAGTCCTGTTTCCATTTTGAGTTTATTTTTGTGTATGGCGTAAGTTGGTGATCTAGTTTCATTCTTTTGCATGTATCTGTCCAATTTTCCCAACTCCATTTATTGAAGAGACTGTCTTGATTCCATTGTATATTCGTGCCTCCTTTGTCAAATATTAATTGAGCACAGTGATTTGGGTTGATAGCTGGGTTCTTGATTCTATTCCATTGATCTATATGTCTGTTCTTGTGCCAGTACCAGGCTGTTTTGAGAACAGTGGCTTTGAAATACAGTTTGAAGTCTGGTATTGAGATCCCTCCAACTTTACTCTTCTTTCTC